TAACTTTGAAGTCTAGTCACATAATGATAAACACATTATTCATGTTCCGAGGAAGAAAAGCAGCGTCAATACATAATACAAATATATGAAATGTCTGCTTTTCCAATGCTCAATGATCAAGCTTCCACTCTGATGAAATTCTTCTGCAACACCACAACAGGCACAAGATGATGTGGCACAAGGATGAAAGAAATCTAAGGGCGATTTAAAACTAATTGCTATAAATTGCTATATTTCAGTTATATTTACCTGTTTTAGCGCTCACAGAATTCCATCGGTGTAAACGGGAGTTCTCGTAGTTTCAGAATCCTGGGAGTCCAAGGGTTAAGTCAAATAGATGAGAGGGAAAATGTGTGATAAATTGAATGTTATAGTTACAGCCCTAGAACCTACTCCACATTACAAAGGATCTGACTCGATGTTAAATTACTTACGTTTTTAGAGACCAGGATGGCATTTGGCTTTATTTCCTTGGGGATTAGAACAATTTACACTGTCTAATATCTATAATGAATGGTTTTTCAATACTAGAAATTTAAAAAACGCATTGCCATTTCAGGCCTTGTGTGAAATTATCCCGATTTGGCTTGTCCGCAAGGCCGTTTCTAATGACAATTTTCCAATGATGCGGCAGGCGTCCCATGAATCAACAGCAGAACACAAAATCAGTGTGTGTGAAATTAAAATGTCCAGGGATCATATGAGCTTGAATTTGAAAACATATGGAGGAGGCTAAAGGCGCGGTCACACTTGTTGGATGGTTCGTTTTTACTGAACCAAGTCCGGATCATTCCCACTGATGTCTGCTGACGTTGTGTCCCAGAGCAAGACACACTGACAGTAGAACTCCCAGGGCAGTCAATTTGACAGCTTTGAAAAATGTACAATTCACAGCTGTGTCAGGATCAGTGGCCCGGGGATCCATCTCCAGGCGACGATGCTCAGGGTGGTCAGGATCAGAGGCGAAGAATTTTACGTATTGTACATGTTTTTAGTCATGGGAAACTGGAGCACTCAGTGGAAACCTACGCAGACACAGGGAGAACATACAAACTTCTCTCAAAAATGTTTTGACGGGGATTCCATACCAGGACCTTCTTCAACTTAATTATATTCAATGTTGTCTTGTATAGCCCTAAATCACAAGTAGTTATCTCAGAGGACTTTACAAAATCGCTGAATTCGCCAACACACATCAGAGAATCTAACAGTTCAACACAAGAAATGCAATGATAAAAAACGCATCGAGCCCTTGGTCCAGGTGACCAATGTCCATAAGTCATTATAAATGTTGTTTATAGTTTTTGCGCGCCGGTCACGTGACCGGGTGGCAATAAGATAAGATGTGCTTTATTTATCTCACATAGGAGAAATTTACATGTCACATTTGGCAGTCATCCGGCCCCTGCTAAAAAAGAGCAGCCTGGATGCTACAGTACTTAACAACTATCGTCCCATCTCAAATCTGACATTTGGGGAAAGTCCTTGAGAAAGTTGTCTACCTACAGCTTACTAGATTTCTTATAATCAACAACTCATTTGATATGTTTCAGTCCGGCTTTAGACCCCACCACAGCACTGAGACTGCTCTCTTCAAGGTTACAAACGATATCCGGCTGAACACTGACGCAGGCAAAGTCTCAATCTTAATCTTGTTAGATCTAAGTGCTGCCTTTGACACCGTCGACCATGAGATCCTCTTACAGAGACTAGAGGACTGGGTTGGCGTCGCTGGCACCGCCCTAAGTTGGTTTGGGTCTTACCTTGAGGACAGGAAGTACTTTGTGGAGATTGGAAACTGTGTCTCAGATCATATGGCCCTGACCTGTGGATTACCACAGGGGTCGATCCTGGGACCTCTTCTGTTCAATCTCTACATGCTTCCGTTAGGTCAGTTAATACGCAGAAACAAAGTTTCCTATCATAACTATGCAGACGACACTCAGATCTATGTCTCACTGACTGCAGGAGAACATGGACCAGTGGACTCACTCCTTCACTGTATCCAACAGATCAGTGAGTGGATGCAAAACAACTTCCTTCAGCTAAACGCAGACAAAACTGAAATGATTGTCTTTGGTCCCTAGAAACAAAGAGAGAGCGTCATCTGTCACCTCCAGTCTCTCTCCCTAAAACCTTCAAACCATGTCAGAAATCTAGGGGTAATACTGGACTCAGACTTAAATTTTAATAGCCACATCAAATCAGTTACATCAGCAGCTTTTTACCATCTAAAAAACATTGCCAGGATCAAAAACATAGTGTCTAAAGCAGACTTGGAGATTCTTATCCATGCATTTGTCTCCAGTAGGTTAGACTACTGCAATGGCCTGCTCACAGGTCTGTCCAAACAGGCTGTAAAACAGCTGCAGTACATTCAAAATGCAGCAGCTCGAGTCCTGACTAGAACCAGGAAGTACGACCACATTAGTCCGGTCCTCAGGTCTCTGCACTGGCTTCCTGTGGCTCAGAGAATAGACTTTAAAACAGCTTGTGGCCTCGCACCAAAATATATTAGTGACATGTTAGTCCCATATGAACCAGCCCAGACTCTGAGGAGCACAGGGACTGGACTCCTGTTAGTGTCCAGAGTCAGAACTAAACATGGGGAGGCTGCTTTTCAGATTCATGCTGCTAAAATCTGGAACAATCTTCCTGAAGATGTGAGACAGGCCTCCTCTCTGACAATGTTTGAAACCAGGTTAAAGACAGTTCTGTTTAGCTGTGCATACAACTGAGGGATTTTATATTTTTATCTTTGTTTTTAATTTTCTGTGATTATTTATGATTTTAATGCTTTCTTGTTTTGTTCAGCACTTTGAATTGCCTTGAGTATGAATTGTGCTATATAAATAAACTTGCCTTGCCTTGCCTTGGATAGAGACACTCAGATTGTGCAAAAGGAGGAAATGTGCAAACATGTTACATGCAGGATATATATGTACAATAAAAGTGACAATAATTATGTACAACAAAAGTGTCAATTGGAAACAGTGTCAATAGTAGTGCAGGTTTTCACACAGTGATCATTTAAAGTGACTTATTGTACAGTCTGACAGCAGTGGGGATAAAGGCCCTGCGGTAGCGCTCCTTCCTACACTGAGGGTGCCTCAGTCTTCCACTGGAGGAGCTCCTCCTTCAGCATTGAAAGAGTTAGCTAGTTTTAGACGTTTGGAGAGAGGTTTTACTAAATCAAATGGTGCGTTCTTGCTGTGTGATCGGTTGTACGGCCCGCTGGGGACAGATTTTATTTTTTCTAATGCTTTCGGAAAAGATCAGCGAAAAACGGCAGCGGGAAAGTGGTTGCCCTTTTATGCTGTTACCTACGGTAAACGTAGAACGGGAAGCCGGGGGGATTAGGGGATAAAAATTCATGAACAAATTTAAGTTTTGCAACTACTATCACTGCAGACCGGTTCACTCATTCATTTATTCATGAATGATGATTAATTTTAAACATTGCATTTTGGTTGCTCATCCCCGCGGCTTCCTGTTCCATTTTTACCGTAAGTAACAGCAAAAAGTGACTACCTGCTTTTAATGTGCTTTACCGCGACGGCAAAATGCCGGGCCAATTTACCGCGGTGAAAAACGTGAGGAATGGATTTTCACCACAAACCCTTCTTGATTGAAGGGTCCCGGGTTTTCTATGAAGTAAGAATAATGCCGCTTTTCCACAGTATCACTACGATTCGTTTTGACTCTCAAGGAACGGTCCTGTTCGCGTGCTTTTCCATCACAAATAGTACCTCCTAGTATGTCCTCAGCGTTGTCAGACCACGTCATTTACATGTGATGCGAAATTAGTAACATTGGTGCGGTGGATGGATTTATTATAATATCGGTGATAGCTGGTTATTGCCCCCTCAGAACTGGCCCCTAAAACCTTTTCAGGACGCTGGGCGAGTGACAGATGAACAATTTTTAATAGAAAATTCAGCACAGCATGAGTGGTTGTTGAAAATGCTGATGTCTTAAAAGAATGACTGACACTGACGAGATACGAGATAAAGCACAGTAGCACATGAAGGACGTTAGCTTAGCTGCTATCAATAGCTAAATAAAGCTAAATGTAGCTAGCTCACTGTGTACAACAGACAATCAAACATTTACACCGTAAATACATTTCAGTGAGAGCTTTGGGCCAACGGCATTTGCAGCTAACCAGTTATTTCCAGGATTACCACAGACTAGTCACAAATCCAGAGCTGGGTGATCTCCCTGAAAACCTTGTGAAACCTCCGTGTTGAGCCTCGAGCTGCCTTTGAATTCTTTCTTTGCCCTAAAGAGAGTAACGTGTGGACCTCGTCCACCGACCAGGACGTTGACTTTTGGGGCTTTGTGCGATTCCATTTCTCTGGAGTGAGGAGGACGTAATGTAGCCGAAGCAGAGCCGAGCAGAGCAGCCGGTTTTAAATATGGCGGATGAGTTGTTTTTAGCAAAGGGTCAGATGTCGCTTCCAGTGATGACACTCGTTGACCAATCAGTGTAAGGCAGACGGCCGACGTCACGTCATGGTACCGGTACTACGGAGATGGAACCACGACGCAAAATAACAGCGCTGAAGCGTACTGTACTGTACCGTACTGATACTGTGGAAAAGCGGCATAAATGTCTCCGGGTCCCAGTCCCAACAGATCGGTGCCAAAACAGAGGTGAGTCTGAGCAATGTTTCTTCTTGTCATCCCAGGTCTCATATGGGCTTTGGATCTGTTCAGTTCGGTCTCATATTCTTATTTTTAGCTTGTCTTTATATCTCATTCTGATATTCTTGCGTGCTTATATACGCTGCTATTTGCCCAATGAGTCTTTTAAAAGTACTCGTTGCATCCATGCTTCAGTATGTGCCGCTCTGTATTTTTGCCACCCGGCGAGGAGCGCATGCGCACAAAGATCCTCCTTATAGAGGCCCCTTGTTGTTCTGCCAAATGAAATGTGCACATATTCGCTGCATGCTGCTCAAACCCATGATTCTAATTATCACAACGGTAAATAAGTGTCAGAATATGTTTACGATGGAGGAGCAGCAGGGGTCCCACCACATCCACAGCAGCAGCCTGTTAGAGCCGGGATTTATCTCCGTCTGACACAATTTGATGAGAGTGGAGAGGCATGAAATTGAAAAAAAACCCTTGGATGTAATGATCAGGGGCCGTATTCCTAAAGATTCTGAGAGTCCTCTCAGAGAGCTCTTATCTTAACCTAAAAACTCCTAGCTAGGAGTCTTAGCTTAAAAGTTATTCCAGAACACTCTTAGAGAACTCTGAGCAAGGAATTGACAACAACTTTTATCTTAGTGAGGAGGCGTGGCCGACCCCGTTGCTAGGTATGAGTCATCATTTCAGACGCTGTGATTGGTTGATCTTAAAAGTTAGAACAAACATATTTTTGATGATAATAGGCAAAATAAGGGCCCTAAAATGGACAAACTCAATCATGGAATCTAATCTTAGGAACACTGTGTTATTGTAAATAATAACCAAAAGCTATAAAGTCAGATATATCAATGGTACATAAATACTGTGAATAGTAAAGTTAGACTTATACACCATCATCAGAGCTTGCTCAGCACCAATTTATCACACATAATACGTATATATCATGAGCACTTATAATTTTATATATATATATATAAAGGCTGTGATATGTATAGACTTATAAGGAATTAAGGAAACAATATTAATATAAACATATTATACATACACTGTACAAATCAAGTACAAGGGAGCTTAAAAGTCGTATCCTCTCCCACTCCTTTTTGAGCTGGATTGTTGTTAATAAAACAAAACTGTATATTTGTACTTCTATTCTGTTGTTGTTTTGTTTGTTTTGTCCTTTTTTTTCTTGTTTGCCATGGCTCAAAATAAAGTATTCATTCATTCGTACTGAATGTGTGACAATTTAGGACCACTTTTTCCTCTCTTTCAACTTTTACCATTTCTACTTACTTTTGTGTAACAAAGGTAAAATGGATGAGGTGTTATTGCTGACCAGCCAATAAGAAGCTGGTCACATTATTGACTTTTAAATATACCTCAAACCTGATTCCTGCTTGAATCTGTAGCGTTTCACTGATTCACTGTCATCCAGTGTATAGAATATTTCTCCTGTCTCCACCGTCCACCATTTTGTGCTCTTAGGGAACTTTTAAGTCGCTAAAAGTCCTCCTCTCAACTCTTAAGGGATCTCCCCTTAAGAGCACTCTTAAGAGCTAGGATTTTTTAGGAATAGCTTTTATCTTAACTAGGAGCTACTCCTCACTTTTAGGGGAAATTCTAAGAGTTGGTCAAGATTCTAAGAAAATTCTTAGAATTTGGCCACTAGGAGCAACTTTTAGCAGTAAGAATCTTTAGGAATACGGCCCCAGATTTTTAGGCGGCGTTGCTGAGTTTTAGGAGCAAGCTAATTTAGAGAAAGATTTGTTATTTAAAAAAATAATTATATCATGGTTTATTGAGAAGGTTTTACACTGGCTTTTCACATTTTAGAACGTAACCATTTGTTTTATTGGAGATGACCAGACTCTCAACACTCTCAAGTGGAGATTTCAACCGTCTAGGCTGCAATTAAGAATCATGTTGATAATTGATTAGAATTAGATGTTGTATACATTTGAGTAAGTAAAAGCTAAAGTCTGATTAGCAATTATTTGTTTAATAAAATTGTACACTCATAAAACAGCTCTGTCCATGAAGTCATAGTCCAAGGATTCACGAGAGTTTGAAAACACAGGACTTGGACAGATGGGATGGGGGTATGTTCCTGATATATGCATGAGTGGAGCAAAAAGCAACTTAAGCCACATTAGCTGTCAAACAGAAAAGTGAAAAAGAGAGGACCACCCTCACTCAGCCAATCAGCTCTCAGCCTGAATTGTCAAATTGTGACTCACAAGGCTCTTTACTACATGATAATGTGTTTTCTAATAAGATGTAGAGCAGATTGTGGTTTGATTCGTTGATTTAACTTGTACAATTGTTATTTTGCCCTAAATCACAGCAGCAGTCTCTGAGGACTCAACAAAACCCTAAAATAACATAGACAAGAGAATCAAACAGTTCAAACACAAGAAATGCAATGATACAAAACACATAGAGCCAAGAACCCCTGCCTTAAGTATTTTGTCTGGTTTTGTGGCATTGGCAGCTGTTTGCTCAGGTTTAAAAAGGTGCATGAATGTGGCATGTCGGTGTACACCTTACCCTGAGCTGATTGGTGGGCGTCACCGAGCAGTGCCCATAAAGACACGGGAACGCGCAGCGCGCATGCATATGTCTTTGTTTGGGTGCGGTGGTCACGGCGTTTGGTGACCGGCTGCCTCCTCTGTGGAGCACGCTTGTGGGCTTGGGCGCCACAGTCTGGGTTGTGCGTGTGTGCATGTCCTCCTCCTCGGTAAGTTGCTCATTGTCCATCCTTTATTGGTTGGCCCTGTGCCAAAGCTGACCATCAAACACTGTTGCTTCAGACTTCGAGCTGCAGTAAGGACCAGCCAATAATCCACCTGGCTCTCCCCCTCCTCCCGCTGTCCGTGCGCACGAGTCTTGCGTTGGCCGGTAAGATCACAGTTTAGTTTAGTTTCCTCCAATCCTCCTAAGACTCGTGTCTCTCCTTTTGCAGGCACGGTTATCCACGTGCGGTCCCAAGCGGGGGCCGCCGCCCCAGAAAAGAAATTGTTGTTTTGTCCATTCATTGTCCTCATACACAACACTCACCACTGTGCACTGTCCTCACGGTGCCGTGAAAGGCGCACTCTGATTCGCCCACACACCAGCACTGCTGTGGGGCGTCTTCTGCGAGGCGTTCAGGTGCGCTCCGACTTGAAACGGCGTTCAACAGGAGTGATGATTAAATAGCCCATGCATTGAACAAAGGTTTTACCGTGTTTTGGTCCCAATGTTTGGCTATGTAGACATATAGACATATTAAAGAAACTCCGCCTTCATGATCATTTTGGTGTCTACTTATCAGTTGTCTACCACTTTATGTTGGCCTTTCAGTAAAAAAGAACAAGTAAAATGAAAACATCTTTGTTGAATATGTTTATGAGGTATAAATAGGTAAACCATGACTTTACAATCAAGATTCGTAATAGTGTTTGGAAAAAGAGAATTTAGACGATGGTGAGATTGCGTAAGATAGATGACTTTATGGTCAGGGTAGGGTGGAGTTGAGTGGTACCAATTGCCATAGGCTGAGGAGAAGTACGATGGACAGAGCTGTGGGTGAGGGGTTAGTCCAGAGACAAGAGACCACACCAGGCTACCTGCGCCAAAACATAAACAACACACCTGCATATATTAGAATCTGTGTTGGCAGAAAATTTCATCCGAATAAAAAATCTAGACTGCCAATTAGTTTAATATTGGGAAGAACAACTTTTCAATTACACTATAAATAAACTAGGGTAAAAGTAGTTTTGGTCTCTCTGTTGGGCGCAGACAGTGGCTGAGTTGGATAGAGGGGGCTGAATGTGTGATTAGCATTCTTCGCTTCTCCTGCCGGGAAGGTTCTGGGTGTGGTGTCTGGTCCCCGGATCGGAACAGAGTATTTTCTGAACAGTAGTCTTTCTGATTTGCATGTTCGCCCTGTGTCTGCGTAGGTTTCCTCCAGGTTCTCCGGTTTCCTCCAGGTATCCGGTTTCACCTACACTATAACAATATACAGTGCATTTGCGAAAGTTATTCGGGCCCTTGAATCTTTCAACTTTTCAGGCTTCAAAATATAAAGATATAAATATTTGTTGTCATGATATCAACAACAAGATGGGGGACACAATCGTGAAGGGGAACAAATATTTATTGGTTAATTTAATCTTTTTTAACAAATAATAACACTGGAAAAGTTGTGGGAGGTTGCAATATTTTATACGGCACCTGCGCTGAATACTTGTAGACGCCACTCTTTTGCTGCAATTTATCAGCTGGCTCAGTCGTGCTTGGGTATGGTCTCTTATCAGTTTTGCACATCGAGAGACTGGAATTCTTGCACTCGATTCTTTCTCTGCAAAACTGCTCGGCTCAGTGAGTTGGATGGAGAGCCCGTTTCTTCCATGTCCCCTGCTGAAGAAATGTCAGGCCCAAACACATGATGCTGCCACCATCCATGTTTGACTGGGGGTTGGTGGGTTCAGTGGTGATGAGCTGTGTTGCTTTTAGCCAAACATTATCGTTTGCATTGTGGCAAAAAGTTCGTTTTTGCTTTATCTGACCTGAGCCCTTCTTCCACATTGGTGGTGTGTCTCCAGGTGGCTTGTTGGCCAAACTTTAAACAAGACTTTTAGGGTATCCTTTGAGAAATGGCTTTCTTTCCCTTGCCACTCTTCCATTAAAGGCCAGATTTGTATGCAGTGCACGACTTTTTGTTGTTTATGGAAAGACTCTCCACTCAGCTGTTGTTATCTGCAGTTCATCCAGAGGATCTATGGCCTCTTGGTGCATCTCTGGATCAGTCTCTCTCCTTGTTTGAGAATTTGAAAAACGTTTGGAGTGGCGACGGCGGGGTTCTTGGTTAGATTTGCAGTGGTTTGATACTCCTTCCATTTCCATCTATAATTTGCTTGGCACAGTGCCTTCCTTGAGAGTTTAAAGCTTGTTGGGAAATCTTTTTGTATCCATAATCCGGTCCTTTAAACTTCTCCACAACAGTTCTCTATGAAGAGTAGAGCCCTGTGACCAAACTATGCAGATAGAATGGCTGTATTCATCCATTCAGGTTGCATATATTCGATGTCAATAGTGTAAAATCAAAGAATAACAAAATTTAAATGATAAACCCTTACCTAAAAAATTTTTTTTTTTTTATTTTACCCAGGAAAGTCCCATTGAGATTAATCATGGTCAGCAATGGAGTCATTTGAGGTCAACTTTGTTTGTCAATATTTTCATGTTCAGACGGTGTCCCCTGTATACATACAGTCTGGGGTTTGGCTGTATGACAGTATTTTATTAAAGCCAGCAGGTGTTGGCTCGCAGAACTCCTGTTTGGACAAAGTTACTCTGTGCACTGTGAGCATGGAGAGACAGAGGTGAAGCTGAACTGGAGTAATATAGTCCAGGGACTCAAGGCTACATTTGGAAGGCAGTTTGATCAGTAATTGTGTCTCCAGAGCTGCAGAAGACCATTGTGGAGGGCCCCTAGCAGAGACCACTGTGGAGGTCAGGACAGCAGACCAAGTGGAGCACCTCAAAAAAGCCCAGAAAAGTGGTCTATTGCTAAATTTATCACTGAGTCCACACCCACGGCCGCCCAAGCAGCAAAGTCCCCAGATTTCGGTCACAGCGACGCGGACTAAACTGCGGCTTGTACGATGTAACCACTCAAAAACACACAAACGCGTGGCATAAACGCACATACATGACATGCAAGTCAAATACACAAAAGACACTCTTGCATTTTTCTATTGCATCTATATATAAGTATAAGTATTCACTTTGATTTATTGTCATGCCGTCTTTGTGTTTAATCTATTGTTATTTTGTTGATCTTGTGATGTTACTCTTTTTGACTTAAATCATAGTGCCAACCTAATGGTTGACTACTGGCCCATTCTATCCATGCCATAGTTTGTCATGGGCTCTACTTTCAATATGTTCATTTGGGACATTTTTGGGATGAGTACATTTTGTAATTTTTGAGCAACACTTTTGTGGAGGTATTGTGCTGTGCCCATAAAACTTAGTATTTTACATTAAAATACTCTTTCTCAAAACGTGTTGCTGTTTTTTTCTAACAGGTTTGAGGAGATGCGAATGTTAAATAAATTGTGTGACAATCCACTTTACTGCTACGTTCGTATGTTTTCACAAAAACTCATTTTCTATTTTTTTGTCTAAGATGGTGTTTTATGTCACACTCTCCTCTTTTCGACTGGAGATCACTGTAGATCGATACATTACTAAGAACAAGCTTCTTTGTGCTGCTGAATGTAGTACTGTCCTGTCTTGAAGGATCTCTGGTTGCAGATTTTTCTTTTCATCTTTTTTTTCTTTTTTTTTTTGTCGTATTAGACACACAATATTCTGTGAGTCTTTAAAATTCAGTGAAGTCATCAAAAAATGGCTGGCAGCAATGAGAATCCTCTTTTTTGTGTACAATAAAAGTACATAAAATTACAGATGATAAAACAGTCACTTCAGATGATAAATAGTCACATACAGTATTATATCAACGGAGTAACACCTCAATTTCATAAAATATACGGATTATAAAAACAGTTTCATTTCACTGAAGATGTCTCAATCGGGATCTATAAAGCATTCAAGGAAATAAGATCAGATATTTTAGTCTTTTTGCAACTCGTTCCCATGTAGATGGTGCAGTTTTTTTCCCACAGTTCTGTGCAAAAGGAACTAGAGGCCAACAAAACGATACATTTGATCCCAAACCATGAGAACATGTCTTGTGAGGTAAACGACAGATGTCCAGTGGGCAGCTGAGCAAGCCTTAGAAACTAAAGTGCACCAGTGTCCAAACCTTCTGTGGACAAAGATCCACACTCCCAGAATATCACATTCCACAGTGAGGTCTTTGCAGTTCGCATATGATGAAACATTAAAACAATTTTTTTCCCCTATATTAAGCGCAGTCTTACCTGTTGATTATTGTGTAAAATATTACTTTAAATAGACTGCTTTAGGAATGAAACCTCTGCCTTGTGTATTGATGATACTTCGGCTTACTACGCTACTGTGTGGTGTGGTCATTTGTGGTGGTTATTGTGAGGCAAGTATTTTCTGATGGTGGGTACTTGCGTGGTGAATAGTTTGAGAACCAATGGTCATATGTTATAAACTACCTGACTTGTTGCATATGGTTAATTTTTCTAGAGATTTTTTCCAGATAGTAGAGGGGTTAAGTAGTAGTATCATTTAATACATAAATATATTTATGAATATGTCTCACCAAGTGCAGTGGGAGAAGCAGGAGCAGGCACACCATTTGGTTCTTCCGAACGCTGGATGGTGCTTGGCTGTAAAAACAATTATTTAAGAGGGTGTGATGGAATGCGGTGCTCAATTTATGCCTTCCATCCACCCTTTACACCCGTGGACCCACACTGGGATGGACCAGCAGGGTGGCTGGGCTGGAGAGGGTCCCTGACAAGACTTTGGTGTGCTATGGTTTGTTTTCTTTCACTTTTTCCATCACTGCTTTTAAACATTGACTATCATACTATGCTTGTTAAATAAGGCTTTACCGGTGTGCAGAGTAGTGGGGTGGTATGTTGTCTTATGAAGTGGTAATGATCAGATGAATTTGAATTAAATGCTCCTAGATATACACATTAATATATATCTATATTATATAGTAAAAATATGTAGCTGGAGTGCTCACCCATGTCTCGAGGGGTGTTGAGCGGTCACTTCAAGGGATAGCATTAATCCTTTTTGTTTTGCTGTATGGAGGTGATGGA